TCGAATCGACAAGTTGTAAAATAGCTTGTTAGTGGATTTATTGAATTTAAAAGTATATAGTTTGGAAGTAATTAAGTTCGTGGGTTGAATTTGCCGCATAGGTAAGCCTTTTAGGAATTAATCACGGTAGTTATGGGAGTCAATAATTGTAAAAGTTGTTTTGTATCGAATTTCCTGGAGATGAAGTTGCGCGAGTGAGCTTTGTAAAAGCCTCGCGCTTATGAGGATTATTATTTATTCTGGTAAATTTGCCAATCAAAGTCAAATAAACGTTGTTTTGTTTACAAATTTATGTAAATGAATCGGAGTACTTAGGTAGCGACTCGAGTGGGGTAGTTCAAAATCGAAGTAAATTAGCATACATAGGTCCTGCTTACTATTCTAGGGTTGGTTTCTGATGCGATGCTTATAAGCCCGCGTTCAGAATGTTATGGGGATTCCGGGTAAGCCTTCGAACGCTTAGCATAGACCGGCCATAACACTACGAATGATGCTTACCTGCATAACCTCTTATCGACACTTTGAAATTCTTTCCATTTCTAAACTGAAATCCAAATGTCCAAGAATTTGAATAAACCACTTCTCTATAAATAAATTAAATTGCATTCGATGCTCCGATTAAACTTTTATTATGCGATTACACAAAGCTCTTACGCGTATTGTCAAATCATTCATTCAGCAGCCAAATGAGATATGGTGATAAAAAGAGGACCGTCCACCCGAGGTATTCAATAGAAATATTCATGAGTGGACATAAAATTTGAATTTACATCCATTAGTCCATCAGCAGAAGTACGTTTCCGAACAAAAACCACTTTAAGCTCAACGGGCAAGAACATTCAATATAGGATAATATGAAAGAGCGACACTGCTTGTTCTAACACATACACGGTCCCACTAGATTACCGGGCATCAATCTACGCACACATGCTCCAATTTGTCCCGAACAATACTCATTTTTATTCCGCTAACTCCATGCGTCATCACTTCCGTCGTCCACTACAGATTGTTTGTTTATTCATGTCCTTTTTAAAGGACCCAACAAAGAAATCATAAAAGAAACCTCGACAACGTAAAACCTGCACAACTTCATTGATTACAAAAGTTACGCAACGACCACCTACCTCATTTCAGCCACCTACGCCCCATTCTACACTTTAATTTTCTTTTAAATACGATCCTTTCAAAATCTCAAAAGTAAACATCATCAATATAAAGTACACAGTATTTACACGTAATAACATCAAACATTTCAAACGTCATCCCGACAATTATAAAATAATTTCCCTCTCTCCTTAAACCAACAAAATCTGAAAAATATGTCCCTCGCGCACAAATGAAGCCAAGGAATTCGAGTTTCGTCGCGAGCTGCAACATATTAAAGAAAGTGTCATGTTTTAGATTTATGCCTCCAAACTTTCTCATCCTTAGACATGTGAAATATTTCGGTGTATATATATTTATTGGATATTTTTTGTCCGAGAAAAATTATTACACCATTTTAAAATGTTTTCGGTGTTCGCTAACGCACGCATTTATTATCACAAATGCAAAAACTTCCGAGCCCTCATCAATATAGTTCAGCGACGACCTTTGGCTAGCGAGTAGAAAGTCGTACGCGTTCAAGGTTATCGGGGTAGTAGAAAGTGCGCTTCTCTCAAGGTCGAAGGGACCTTTTCTACTAATCGTAACAAATCGTGAACGGCGTCGCATATTTTCCTCGCCGGCACGGCTACTTTTTGAGTAAGGACGCGTTAAATACAGGTGGAAGAGCGTTAATAGGCCGGAAATTTAATCGTGCAATGTTAACAGATAACAGCAAATTGCTTCTTATGTGTAAAATTTGTGCGAACCGTGGTAGGTGTGTATTCGCATAAATTGTCAAGTTTTCTGGAGCAGCAAAACTTTACAAATTGTTTAATTCTATGTATCATTCGAAAAGGTAACTTTCTATGCACCTCGCCATAATTTATTTAGCGAGGTTTAAGGTGGAATTCAGTTTATGTCATCAAGTTGTTCAAACATGAACTCACTTTAGCACTAACCCTCACCTGCTGTACCGAAGGAAATTAAACGTGGATTAAATCAAGATTCGGGATGGGAAGAGTAATATGGATTTTATTAAATGTAACAAGAAATTCGGTAATAATTTTCTACGAGCTTATATAACCATTGATTTCCATGTAAAGATCTCCATAACGCAAACCGTGTTTATAAGTAGGGGCGTAATATGTTTGAGTTACTCTTGAGTTTCAATATTGAAATGAAAATAAACGCTGAAAAATTCCCCAACTTTTTACAAAGCGGGTTAATAACAACGAGTCGATCCCTCGCTGCCTCTCATCGCAAACATATCGTTACGTAAAAGTTATTCTTAATAAAAAGTAATCCTTTACCGAGAACGCACTTCAACCTTTTGCGAACGTAAATATTTTTATTGCTCCTTCTGGTAACGCACTTTTTATTTTTAGAAAACATTACATTTTCATCATGCAAATCCCTTTATTAAACAAAACGAAACCTAACTACGTGACTTAATTATTCATAAATATATTTTTAAACCGACGTTACATCATCGATCTCGAAAATATATAATGGCTACATGTTGAGCCCGGATCTGCCAACGTTCATCAGTTTTCAACCCTTCGTGCCAGATCTTATCCAAAATATAAACATAAAACCGACAAATAAAAAAATTCACTCATCAAAAAAATCTTTGATGCGTGATTATTTATTCTTTTTGTTGAACACGTGATGACGCAGAACGCGGTCAAAAACAAGGGAACACATTAAACTGCCAGATTACCTGGTGCTACGCCACCGAAACGCTTTGCTAAATGCGAAAGCGTTCGCGAAACTTCTGACATGATGTTTTCATTTTTTACCGGTGATATATCTATGTTACATAAATTATATAGCGCAACAACAGCATCCCTCAAAAACACATTCAAGTTAAAACTTCGTCACGCAGTTTACAACCGACAGCCAGAAACGTCAAGCCTTTTCATCCTTTGGCTCATCAGAAATCTCACTGGCATTAGGCGCACAAGCCACGCGGCAGTGAAGTAGAGCAGGTCAATCTAATAGTTAAGCCTCAAATCTTTTCCTAATCGTGACGTCGCCAAACAAAAACGAGCTCGCTTTCAATATTTCAATACGGATACAAGTGGAAACAAATACATAATAATACTCCAAATTAGAATGCAAATTGTAACGCTTACCTTTAAAAGTCGGGGAGAATTCTTAACCTATAACGAGATTTTTACACAAATATGTAATATCGGTTCAAATTTCGCGTGAACGTTAAAATAGCACGCCTGATGTGATTGTAGGTCCAAATGTCGTGCTTTGCCCAGATTTAAAGCGCAAAACTTGAACTTCTTGCGGCAATAAAATGTATTATCGTGCCATACTCGTACGGATGGAGCATCTTCGGTGATCATAAATGAAACATTGTAGGTGATGTGAGGTGAAAATTATTTCATCGATTGGGGTGGCGTTATCCTGTCGCGTTTCACAATGGTCGGATTGTGGATTAATTAACGATTATTGGATTTGTTATCGACTAATGGTCTATGCAGGCAGTTATCTCCATTATTCGATTAATATCAGGATCAGGTGAATTTTATGTAGTTGTGTTAAGAGAAATTGTTTTTCCCTTTTAGGCTGACCGGAACTTTTAGAATCGCCCGTAAATTTGACTTTATGTTCATTATGCAATAACTCCGTTGTAAGTGTAGTGTGTAAAATTTTATTCCATCGTTAATAAATAATTTATTGTGAATGGGCATTGCGTCGCAATAAATGTAGTTAATGTCACATTAGAGAAAATTAATCACGGTTGTTTGAATTTGGAAAGTAGACAACAAAGTGTTTGATCAGTCGGTAGAAAATGGAGTCATCGTCAATAAGTGCATTGTAGGTTTCTCTCTATATCAAAATAATCCGTACGCTAACGGAGATTAAGTTTCCAGAGATAGTGACTTTAAAATTCGAACATTATAAATTAATTTTACGCGAATAATCCGTACGCCGAACATCAAAGGGGTATTTAGGGCGTGCTAAAAAGGTACCGTCTTGAAAATCCCTATTTTCATAGAAAAGGTTTCCTGCAACTTGCCGAATTCATATTGAGTGATGAATCCGTTTTTCGATATCAAAAGCTATCTCCAGCTGTAAGAAGCTTTTTATAAAGCATACAAAAATACAACAATTTTCTGTACGGATCTTGTCAGGGCGCTCCGAGCATTGACTAAATTGGGTTCAAATTGATCCCAGAGGGTTAATGTTAACACTGAAATATTATTAAATTTCGACTATATTAAATATTGTATAACTCTGCACACAGCTTGTTTACATGTGTCGCGCGCTCGCTTCCTAACACAATATATCGCGCAAAATTACACTCCATCCGAACGAGCCGCTCGAGAAACCGGTTTCAATTCCGCCAAACCGGTTTCCCGGCGCACGCGCAACCGGTTGCTAATCGTTAATTGCCTAATCGATAGATCGGCTAACGCGATTTGAAATTTTCGGGGGGTATCGCACTCGGCAAAAATCAATTTCAAAAATAAACAGTCCGTTCTATGACGGCCGTAATTGGGTGGAGGAAGTTAGGCGCACGTTTTCTGAATTTCGAATCGAATTCGGCGCTTATTTGGCTCAATTAAAATACGATTCGATTAGATTCGCGCCGGTTAAATAATAATCATTACGTACTTGGAAATAAAAGGGGGTGGAAGCGTTTTTTCGACCGCCGGATCAAATTGCGTTGCAGCAGATTTTGCTGCAAATTATGTTCCGTTGTATATCACCGGCAGTGGTGCAATGCTAACAACAATCCTCAACAGTATCGAGTGGCGTATTGCAGTTTGCAACTTCTCTGCAAGTGATTAGTTTACATGCTTGTGTCTAACTGGCCGGAATACGTTATTTGAATTTAGAAAACAGGTGAACGAATGGTACGTGTTGCGGTGTGAGTGAAAATTACGCATTCTTACCGTGTATCCAGTTCGTAGATAGCCACAACAGCAAGACTCTGCAATCCATTGTCCTAAAAGCAATTAAGAGAAATTAAAATTATTTTACACAAAAAAGGGAAAGCACTTCCCACTCAAAATTCTTTCTTTGATGCTGAGAGCTTTTATCAGTTACAAATGTCGCATTTTTCTAAAAATCTTAATTACAGTTGAGAAGCTCGAAAACTTTGTTAATAGTGAACTTCATTAGTAAATGATGGGATTTACTTCCCAATTATATCGAGTTTGGAAGTTTTAACTTTTTTCATAAATAAAACTTCCAACAAACGTAACAACACAAACTTTCTCTAGTTGACTGCTACGCCAATATTATTATCGCTAACTAAACAACTAAATATTATCTTATCCGACCGTGATTCTGTCAAACTACAAGATAAACACTGCACCGTAATGTCATATTACGCGCAAATGTTCAGCAATTATGTGTGGACGTTTCTATTATGCAAAACACTCATTTGTTATTTTTTTGCTCAGTAGAACCGGCATGAATATACCACCCCACTACTGTAAAATAGTACTTTAACTGAATAAAGCGAAAATGCTAATTTGCGCCGACGTTCCAGGAATTTATTGAAATTTTTCGCTCCTTTACACTATCGTGAATGAATCTGCGACTTTCGCTCTGCTCACAATATAATGTTAACTGAGACGTCAATTGGGACAATAAACACGTTTTTTCACAGTAAAAGACAGAGTAAAACCCACCCTACATTGCGTCAAGTAGAAGAGGCACCTGCTTTCAAGGTCAGAGGGACCATTTCTACTACTCTGAACCACGTCTTCTACTAATTAACACAGTGACATTAAAATATGACAAATAATGGTTCTTTTTCCGTTATAAAATCGGTAGTTACATCAGGCAAACCGCAACTGATTGAGGTTTCGGAAATTTATGGAAACTCTCCCTGTTTGGAACGCGCTAGTTTCGTTCCACACAATCATGTAAAATTCGGTTCGATCAAAAAGTAATTCGACTTAATTGATCGAACGCGAATTAATATAGAGATATGAATTCAAATCCATTAACACATGCTCGTTTTAGCGCTGTACGTCAATTTAGTTTGATACGAAGAATTAATTTACCTTTATTCGGTCAATTAAAATTAATCACAAAATTTAATTCGATTTGCGACAATTCGTTTCAATCACGTTTGAGGTGACGGTGTACCATATGTAAATGATTGCGAAATCCTGCTTATATTTCGCGTAACACGTCTCAGACAAGGCTTTGACTCTATTTTACATATTTCATTCCCATCATAATTTGCAAGCGCAAATTTTCATTTACTTTTGCTGAAAGTCATTCTCCTAGGTGGACTGTGCTAACGCGACACGTAATTTCGTTTGGTGCTTATTTTTGGCGAAGTTTATTTTATTTTTAACCATATTTTGCAGAAAATAACTGGCTGGTGATAACCTTGCGATTTTAAACTTGATTTGCATTTATATTATGCAGTGTTTGGAGATTGATGACATGGAAAACGTCTGAATAATGTAAACACATATCTGATTTTTTTAGATTTATTCGTTCGTTACACGGTAAAGTGTTTTCTAGGGTGTGACAACTTAGGAAGCAATGTTTTAAAATTTTAACAGCGACTGAACAATCTTGATGTAATTAACTACGTACTTAATTAACCCTGCTGGGTTTACTATTAAAAAAAAAATGTAAATGTGAAATCGGCGCTAAATCCTACTCGAGTCGCGACATCTATCAAATGTAAATCAAGGATGAATGCACCAACTTATCCACTTTGTAAATGAAATATTCTTTTTTGAAAAAGGCGTTTCAGAGCTATAAATATCGAATGTAAAGATGTGTATCAAAATTGCGATCAATCTGAGCGCAAACAATTTTCTCTGGGATTTTACTTCACTACGTCTAAGTATATGGCGCATATAAAATGAAACGATTGCTTTGATTTGTAAAAACCTGTAATAAAGATAAAGTTGTCCAACTCGTCTGAACTGAACGACTTGTTTTTCCTGTGTCGGTCAATCATTAAGACAAGTTGAACCATAAACATAATTTGTAGTTGCTACAATGTAAAAGTTTATCCGTTGTGTCAAGTGGCTTGTCAGAGAAATAAATCCCCTGGAAGATAATTCAAATTGTGTTGTAATTAAAAGTTGTAACTGCACGAACTAATCGTAAACGAAAATGACAAGTTAAGTCAATGTTATGGTCCAAACAAGTTGTGATTAAATATTTACATTAAAAGTTGCGAGAAGTTTTGCTTTCTTTCAATTAATTTCATTTAAATAAGTTTGCTCGTCTGTCTGGAAGTTGTGGAAGGGGCAGTTCACACAAAATTAAAAAATCTCGTCAAGTTATTTTCACAGAACTTTCTTGTATCTTCAGTGTAAATGTTAATTGTCTGGTCGCCAATTTTTACGAAATTAATTATCAAGAAAACTGCATTTTTGTGTTTTTAGGAGGTGACAAAGTGAAATTAATTATCTCAACATTTTTTTTAGTCCTCGCTGGAGTAATAAAAGAGCAAATATTTCATAATTTGCCCGTAACAAGTGTTTTTTCGGGTAGTAGATTTAAATGTTGATTGAGCATATACATGGCGAAATAATTATCGCAAGCACAGCCGCCTCGCTAGCAAAATTGAATCATTTCATTTTAGCTCACTTTATTAATAACGCAAGCTAACAAAAGTTAAATTAAGTTGGGAACAATATGACAAAAAAATTAATTTACGGCGCTTTTATAATCGTAAGTACTTCAAACGATTTTAATCCGAAATCGATAGCAACATATTATTAAACGAGTTTTGTGCAGCTGCTAAAATAAACGTTTTTTTTTTTAAAGACGGATTCAGGCGATTATTTCGGAAAATCGATGCGCGATCTGTTTGCTAACTTTTTAGATTTTTATATAATCTATAAAGCGAACAAAAACTTCCACCTTGTCGTTTTATCCTACTTCAATTTCAGAGAAATCCTCTTTGCCTTCGTATTCCGGAGTACTTTATCTCGAATCTCGCAAAAAATTATATAAGAATTGATTCTTGCCGAACACCGAAACTGATAAACAAACCTGATCAAAATCAGATAAGCGGCTATTTTGTCGTTTCTTGTTTTGTTAACAAAATTTACGATGTGTCGTGATAAGAGGAAACATAACATAATATGTTAGTGTGACCAATAACTTTACATAAAAATTTATTTGATTACGACTTTGTCATTGATTGTTGTTGATGATTACGTCTATTTTTACCACAATGTCGTGAAGCACTTTGTAAATTAATCACATTTCGCCTTATCGAGCAATTCGGAAACATTTCAGGGCCTAGAATATGAATTTTCCTGAAATATGTTGCAGAGGCATTAAACTAATTATATCGTGACCATTAAACGGTCCCCTGGAGAATTTTAAATAAATCGCCTTATATATTTCGGTATTAAAAGGTAATTTGCAAAGTAATGAAGCGGTGTGGAAAGTTAAACAATCGAACACTGCGATATCAAAGGGACGCAATAATGCTCAAAATCTTTATAAAATTAACGCTAAGAGAGCAAATTTAGAACTTTGGGGGTACTACATCGATTTATGTAAATTCACGGTTTAATCGACACAGGTTCGCTGAAATTATTTAATAGACCATCAATTAACGCCAAAACATATAAATAATTCCCTCAATAATTACTCCCAATTATGATTACATCATGAATAAATTAATTTCATTTCCAACACCTCACACAAATATATTTAGCCGCCTCCTTAAACCTCATCTTTCATGAAAGCAGCAGGAAATTATTTCAACTGATTTTTCCTAACACATTTTTTGTTGTCAGGATTTTATCGACGTTCGTTTACACTCAGTTCAATCACAATAACGAGCTCAGGCAAAATAGAAAGTATCCAACATTCGAGGTCACCGATGTGGTAGAAACGACACCTTCACCCAAGGTCAGACACACATTTTCTACTCCCGTGACCTTCATCGGTAACCTTTCTACTACCAATTTGAAAAAACTAAAAATTAATTCACTTATTTTTTCGTTTCGCTAACGCATTTTTGTCGTTCCGCGATATGAGGGGAGTTCGAAACCCTCTCAGTAATTAAATTGACTCTTGAAACATTCGTGGTCTCTTACTCGCATTTTACGAGAATTGCAGGCTCATTTTAATTTGTACTGGCTTGTTAATTAATTGGGTGTATCTAACCCCTTTACGATTCTCACAACATCTTCGTACTTCTCATATTTACAAGCTGATCTGGAAATATCCTTTTCGCACCTACTGCGAATTTACGACCGGTGAACATAACAATATTTCTGTAGGTAAATTGGTTTATGGCAGAGCGGCTAAGCGAATAACGCAATCAATTGATTCCTAATGGATTGCAATATGGTAAAACTAACTTATCGAAAATTCGCTTCGTACTTTTAAAAGAAAAAGGCTCGAAGCGTCAATTTCATTACGGGGTGTGTGACGTCAATGTATATGGTTTTTTTGTACCTCTACACATAATGGTTGCTTCGTTTTTTGACCTCTCAGTGCTGGGAATACATTATTCGGAAAGAACGCCTCCAGGTGTTAAATAAACGGCAGATTTATGAAAAGATATATTATATGTACTTAGACTGTCTGAATTTGATTTTTAACCTTAGCGGAGTCGATATTTAATTATTTTAAGTCGTGAGTGGTTATATAGTGGGGCTTGTGGTTCACTTCGTGAAAGCAGTCCATAAAAAATCTGAAAAAAGTGAATTGCGTACGACTTGTCGTCATTATCGCTTTGGTTTAATAGCAATAACTGAAAAAATTGAGCTTAAAATCATATTGACGTTGATTGTAAGCCTTCTCTTCTTTGACGTTAATCCTAAACTGCTACACTCAATTTATCTGTCACCGGCGATCAGCTTTCGTAGTGTTTTTATGATTAGGCCGTAAACGTATTTTACAAGTTTTTAAAAACCAAATTAGAAATATCGCTGCCGTAATCACCTAGGAAAACAACAACATCCGCTATCTTATCACCAGCAATCCCCAAAATTCCTACCACAATATTGTTTTCTGTGTGTCGAGCTTCCCCAAACTTAATACATGCACAAAGTTTGTTCTTGTATTTCACTCAGAAATTGTTATTTGCCCTCCACGAAACTTACATTAATTAATTTTTGTTAAACTGTTGGTTTAAAAGAGCGCATAGTTCGTAACATGACAGCGCGGCTAATCCGGTATTTGAAGTTGACAAGTTTGGCGGATTTTTAAGCCAAAAGGGGTAAAACGAGGGCTGCCGCTATGTAAATCTGCATGTGTCGCGATTGTAACCCGTCCCAAGATGCCAGCTCCATTAAATAGTGTATGAGGGCTCTAGTGTGTGAGGAATTTGGGATTTGACACGTTCAGTTTAAATTGGCCATGAGGTACGCCTAGAGCAAGTCTTTTCAAAAATGCCATTCGTTACAAAGAGAGAATAAAAGTCGCGTTATGGAGGCATTGTTTCAGCTTTTGTGCGGGTGGAATCAATCACGCGAGTCTTGTACACGAACGACAATGCTATAGACGGACCTCCGATAACGGATTATTCAGTACAAAAAGTTCAATTCGGGCGTTGCATTTAAATGGAGTTTAAAAGTTTTATAGCAATAATAGTCATCTGTTGCGTCAAAATTGACTAACACCAAAACATGCTAGGCAAGCACACTAGATGTATTAATCCAGTTCCATAATGGAAAACTGAACTAAACTACAAATTTACGACTTCAGAAAGCTCTATACCACAATGTAACACTTTACAAAGTGCAAACGCTATGTTCTGTAGTAATTATAATTACAACATATACAACAAAATATTTAAAAATAGAAACGTTATTTAATTCACAAATTCATTTATAAATATTTTTTGAAAAATTGCTGAAATTGGATGACCGATTCGTGTGGGCGATATATTCGTATTAATTAATTGCATAGCACTTTTTCCACACAAATCCGATACATATTTCTCTTCTGAAAACAAATTCAGACCAAAAATTAATTGTAATGGGACCTGCTGGACTGGCATCACATTTTACAAAAAAGTTACAAAGCGATAAAAATTTGGTTTCAGTTGTCAGAAGATAAAAAGCCCTGAAAGAGGCCAAAGTTATTTGCCAATAACCAGCTATGCTCCCATTTAACGTGTTTTCAGTGAATTTTTCAGCGTAAAATTTATACCACAAGTCATCAAATTTAATTTCCCCCTGAACTTTGGTTAAGGATAAACGATCTTTTTCAGTTTTCAACATTTTTAGGCAACAGGCGACAATTAAATAACCTTTTAATATCGAATTAGTTACTTTATAAAATTATCAATTAGTTTGTGTAAATTTTTACGGATATTTCCTACAATTAATTTATGAAAATTTAAAATGCAATTGTTCAACTTTTTATTTGATAGAGAAAAACAATTTAGAAATTTTGAAAAATATTTTCAAATTATGAAACATTTATTAAATTAATTAAAATTAAATTATCAAGTCAATAAAATAACAATAAATGATTTTGTAAATGACAAAAAGAAATTGAAGTTTCACGGCCGGTCCGAACCATTGCCTCTTGGTGCGGCCATATTTGGTAGTCCGACGTTAAACAGTATTATCTTTTGTCTGTAAAAAATCCATTGGATCGATATTTTCAAAAAAATTATTAAAACATTCAAAAAGTTTATTATAATACTATAAATAATGTATCGTATTTCTATTTTCAGTCGTTTTTTGAAAAATGGTAATGGGGGAGCCGCATTTAAAACGCCCTGTATATGTATATGTTTTACATATTTTTCAGCGCATGCAAATGAGTTTGAATAAATGTCTAATAATTAATTTTCTAAAAATTATAAGCGTGAATAAAATCGGAACAAAAAAAAATCGGGGGTGCGTATTTTTAAATTTTCGGTGGTGTCAATAAAGAAATTGATGAAAGAAATCAAACCGAACGCGTTTTACAATTGGGAGTAATTATTTGAATCATGTTTTGTGGGGCTTTACGTTTCGGTGGTAATTTATTTGGGGGCTTAATGACCGTCCAGAATTTAGGCATTGAACTCTCTTTGGAAAATACCTCAACATGCATAATTTATAGAGTTGAGTAGCAAGTGCATTAGCCGGGACGTTTCTTGCACATTTTCTCAAATCGCGCAAATTCGACACGGTCTATATTAAATCGTTGCGTTTGTACAGCGACGAAACAAGATGAATGAAGACAAATCGGTCGAGATTTTTTGACAAGAAATTGTAAACCCACCTTAGTTCTCGAGGCGCATTTGCTAATAGCCGCAGAACACGAGCCGCACACAGAGTCACTTATTTCACTTCATACTCCCAGCAGAACATGAATGCGGCATCAGCGGCCCGATTCAGAAGCTCCAAACTTGTAAAAAAATTTTCGGAAAGTCTACAGCTTTCAGCAGCGTGCTTTCAGGAGCTCGTGCGGTGCAGGCGTCTTGTGAACGGCGTCGGTTTTAAAAGACTGACTTGGAAACTCCGGGCAAAGCGATGGTATTGGCGAGCATCTACGAATTTTCACGATTTACTCTCAAAACTTAACGCAAACAGTCGGTATGGATTTCCCGGCGTGTGATCCGGCACAATATTTCCAATGGACATTAATTGACACTTGTCACATTCGATCATTTTCCTACCGCTAATCGCCGATCGACTCTTAAATTCGCCACGATTTTCCGGCGCATTTTCGCTAAGACCCGTCCGCACCTGCCGTCAATCGCTGCTCGGAATTATCCGACCGACAAAACTGATGTTCTGCACGCTGAATTAGGCGACATACACGACAGTTACAATAAATGACTATTTTTTTATCCGAGAAAAAAATATCGACGTAATAAAATACAAGGCGGTAAAGATATTTCGCTGCCGAATTCACGCCGCGGTCTCGCTAATACATATGTCGCCTGCCGACAAACCGTCGTTTTCTGCCGCCGTGAATCTTGCAGTCGCCGTGAGCTTAAACACTCAATTTTTTAATTGATATTTAAAAAACTATACTAAATCAAGATTCTCCCTTCAAGCTAAAAGCAAAGGCGTTTAGAGAATTTCAATATTTCTAACATTTTCAAGACACAAATTTAACATTTAACAAAAATCAATTGTTATTTTAACCTGTCCCCCCGAAATGTTTTCAAACTTACGGTTCTTGATCATCAAGCTAAAACTGGTACCTTATTATTGACCCTATTGTTGGGAGTACTTTTTCAAATACAAAATGACGGGGTCTGCAACCATTCCTGGACCATTCTGATCATAACCTCACTATTATTAGTTGTACTAACACAACAAAGATACCATCCATTTTCAATGGTGTAGTACCCTAAACCACTACGACGAGTTTTCAATGAAATGTCTCATAGGAGAGGTCATACCTTGCCCATTAGGAGGGGTCATACCTTGCCCAGGATAGTGGTCTGGCATCTTCAACCTGTTGGTAATATTTACTTAGATGGAGGAATTAGGACCTTGGTTTAGTCAAAACCATGAAAACCGGGGCTAGAAGGCCGATCACCGCCATCCCCCTACCGCAAGGCGAGTAGATCCCCCCGAACCCAGAATCATTCTCCTAATACATGGTACCGAAGGTTTAAAAAACCGGAACTGCCTACCGGGAGTTGATGATGGCGAGGACGGTTCGGTTCGTACCACTGAAGACACGTTGGAGTGTGTTGACGAAGATATCACTTTCGCGGATGTTGGTGTTCTTTCTGGAGGAGGTTGCTCGGGCGCCAACTTCCACTCATAGAAAGCACCTGGGTACCGTAACCGAAGAAACCGATCTCCAGTGGATCTCATGAGCGGCCGCGACAGAAATAATACTCCGGTTAAACTTAAAAATATTCGTCCTTTATTTCCTGCACCAGTACAAAACCTAAATAAGAAAACTATCTGACTAAAAAAATTTGTGACAATTGAAAGAAATGAAAATCCGATCAAGGTCGTTCTGTGGCCTTGAGTAGACAGTGCTGCTTCGGGTTCAGAGGATTCGAAGACGCTGATCGATAGCATGCAGTGCCCACATGGGTACTTCAGTTCGGTACGATAAGGCTGAGTCGCAAAAGCACTACACAGGAAAACCATACTAACTCACAGGAACTCCCCTCACATTTTGGGTATCCCGATAAATTAGCCTGGACAAAAATGTCCCAATAAAAAATAGGTTCACAACAAAATAGCTGCGATAAAATACCGTCACAACAAAATAATTCCGTCAAAATAGCCCAAGATCTAAAAATCGCCACTGCCACCGCAAATATCATCAAAAACGTGACCTGGTCTGACCCAAGGTACGAGAAGACACGGTATACCATTCCGCTAGATGAATTTTCGCCTGCTTTGCGCACCAGCTACGTGACGTCACATTGCCTTGCCTGAAACGCTCTTCTGTCAACTTAGAACGCTGCCAAATGTCAATTTATCAGTGAAATGTGAGGTTATAACGGAGGTTGTGATGAGTTAACTTATCTTCGAAGGTGCTAAGTTAAAATCAGATGCTAATAACATGTCTTCAAAATTTGGCATCGTTCGTTGATAGTGATAATACGAATATGCAACAAGCTAGAATGTAAAGTTGGCGGTCATGACAGCCTCATGACGTCACAATAAATGCGCAATATGACACCATGTCTTCTTGTACCTTAGTTTGACCCAACCTGATATAACCTGACTTGACCTGACTTGACTTTTTTTTTGGGTGGGAAAATGCTTTACGCACCTCTCTGTCATGGTTCTTCCCTCGAGAGAGAGAGTGTAGGACTCTGAGTCCATCGAGGACCCCATATCCACTAAAACCCCACCTTTTCCCTCCAACCGCACGGTACGGCGCTACCATTTCTTCATCCAAATGATTTCCTTCAATTCATCTTCCCTTTTTTTCTCTGTTGTTCTTCCTTTTTTATTTATAATTTCCTCTACCCATTCATTTACAGCATCCCATAGATCTTCGCCGCTTAGCATACAGTTAACCATGTTTTCAGGCTGAAGTTTCCTCTTTATCTTCTGCTCAACTCTCTTTCTTATTTCAGCCCATCTTACACATACAAACATAGTGTGCTCAGCATCATCATCTTGGCCACAGTATACTCATCGTGGGCTGTCTACCTTGCCTATCCTATACAGTTTTGAAAGCACCTATGGCCGCTGAGGACTTGTGCCAGGTGGTAATTTATCCCTCCGTGCGTCCTATAATACCATCCTCTAATGTCGGGTATGAATCTCTTTATCCATTTGTCTTCACTTTCTCGCCACCTATCCTGCAATTTTTGTACTATGTTTTCCCGAAGCCTTTTCTTTTCAGCTACCGCTTTGTCTAGAGACCTGACTTGGACTTGACCTGATTTGACCTGACTTGACCTGACTTGACCCGACTTGACCTGACTTGACCTGACTTGATCTGACTTGAAATGACTTGACCTGACTTGACCTGACCTTTTTTTTTCACTTCTAGGGGAGGGGAGACCTTCAACCCCGCACTAAAACCCCTACCCATCCGTCAAACCCTTTAGGCGCGAACCACGGAATCGCTTGGGGCATATCATCGTAGTGGGCGTCGGGTTACCTCGCCATCATATATCTTGTCCTTCTTCCCTTACCTTCTGCCTCATTATCTTCCCGATCATTTCCTTAATGTCTACCCACCTCCCTTCTTTGACGACCTTACTAAAATTATCTACCGTAAGATCCTCTTGCAGCAACATACCGATTTCCCTCTTGTCCTTCTCTCATCTCGCATAGCCCAACAAATGCTCCGCCGCGTCTATTCCTCCACAGTACTTGCATGTATCCTCGTGAACTTTCCCTATTCTTCTTAAGTACGTCCCGAAGGAGCCGTGACCAGTTAAAAATTGTGTGACATAGTGGTCTATTCCTCCTTAAACTCTCTCGATCCAGTCTTGCACCTTAGGGATCAATCTCCTTGTCCAGGCCCCAACCGTCGCATTTTGCCGTCTCTCCTGCCAGCTTCCCATCATTTTGCATTTTTCCTCTGCTGTTTGTTCTCCCCTGCTTCGGGGCACGTAATAACTGATAGCGCTTCGTACGCTGAGGCAGGCGACCCGAAGTAGCGCCTTCCTTTGATACCTTTCCATTAACCTTCTGTACTTTTGGACCTTTACAATATCGATCCACGCCGGAACCCCAACCAAGGTCCTCCTCTTGCCACTGCTAGGAATGTCCTGTTCGGCATTCAACTGTTACTACAACCCCGTTTTCTCTGCTCTCAGCTTCATCCCCTACTCATCCATCCACCCGATCACCCTTTCTAATCATCTAACCATCAGTGCCAGGTCGTCGGCGTACGCTATCATCTCCGTCTTACGTGGCATCCTTAACCTCAACATTCCCTTGTAGAATAAGTTCCAGAGTCCAAGCACGGAGCCCTGAGGAAAACCCTTACCCAGTACCATTTCACTTCGCTCTTCTCCAACGACCAACATCCTGTTCTGGAAGTAACTTTCGACCATCCTAATCAGGTATCCCGATACCCCATGTGTCTCTAAAGTTTTAAGTATTTTATCCCATGGCGCCGAGTTAAAGTCATTCCTAACGTCAAAACTGATCATGATACTAAGTTTCTTAGACTTATAGCTCCCACGTGTAGCCTCTCTCGTTAATTCCACCACCTTAGTGACCGCATCTGTGGTCGACTTATGTTTCCTGAACCCGTACTGCCTTTGTGATAAACCCCCTTTCTTCTCTACCTCCACCCTAATTCTGTGACCCAGCAACCTCTTAAGTAATTTTCCAACTGTACTCAACATGCAGATCGGCCGGTATTTCTTTTCTCCATTGGTATCAGAATACTTCAGTATCAACACAAGTTTCGCCCTCTTCCACATTCTAGGGAAATCACTTCTTTTTAAACACGTATTCATAACCAAAAAGACTGACCTCCTGACCTGACCTGACCTGACCTGGTCTAACCTAATCTGACTTGACCTGATCTTTTTTTTTCTGTAAAAGGGGAAACCCTCATAGACACCAGGGCCTTCCTTTCCACCATCCCTGGTGGTGTCAGGACTACTACCGGCTAAAACCCCGTTCTCGACCAGTTGTGTTAACATGGCTTCAGGGGGATGGTTGGTGGCCAAATTTTCGCCAGTTCTCTTTTCTTGTCACTAGGGCGGCAGAAAAGAAAAAAAGAAAACTTCAAATTACGTCGTTCGGGATCTGGGTATTTCGATTTTCCATATTTTGTCTTACCCATTCTTCTTCCTCTTTGACCGTGATTATCTTTATAATGAATTTGGAAACTGCATTCCAATGTTCTTCATTTCCTAGCATGAGGTATATTACGTTCCTGGCACGAATTTGATCCCCAATTTCTGATTGGATGTTTCTTCTCTCCTCCCACATACGACATCTAAAAATGTGTTCCGTCAAAAACTGGGTTAGATGAAAATTCAGTTTTTTGTGTTTACATCCCACCCATTTTTTTATGTTTGTGATCT